TATTTTGTGTCAGATGACACTTTGACAGGTCTGGCGATATTTCTGATGTCAGTCAGTTTAACTCTTAGTAAAATAGGTCTGTGGCATTTTGCATAGGAAGGCATCAATTTTAGTTTGCAAGTTCAGGGGTGCCCCACGCATAAGCTTGCAGTTTCATCCTTCTTCGACACACAAACTACTGGATGCTCGTATTCACTTTGTGGTTATACAATTAGTCACATTTGTAATACATAGTTCATCTATTTGTCGATAACCTTCATTTTGTAGAATTTCAGGTTTAAGGTTCGGAAACGGCTACTGTTCTTTACTACACTTTCAGGCTTGAGTTTGATGTTATGTTATACAATGCCGGCAATTTTTGGAATACAGATCTTAGATTGACATGCTTTCTTAAAAATTTTAAGAGTTCCTTTCTCTTGCGTGGTTCAACGTGCTAAGATCAAACCCTTCATCAGAATAGCGTTCTTCTGCTTTTAGTGCAACAACTCTTGAAAGATTTTTTCACTTTCTCAAATCATCGGCTGCATAATATATAACACCGATTATTCACAGCACCCTTGAATTCTCGAATCTTGAACGTGTTTCGAAGCGTCGTCAGGCATTTGTAGTGCGTAACTATAAACTATAATCAGTATTCTTTTTGATGATTGTAGCAGGTCTAGTTCGTCTTTCATATACTTCGTTTTCGCTATCATAGATTAAAACTATAACCCCGTTACCTTCCTTAAATTCTTTCTGACGAACTTTCCGATTGTGGTAGAATGCATAAGCTTGTTGCTTGCCAACACCGGTAAGTCCAGCGTGTTCAACAACCTTTTCTAACTCCATCTTCAAATCATTCAGGTAACCAGGCACTGAACTTAGCTATCCATGAGGAATAGAAACAATGAACGGGAGGAAGAGGCTCCCAAACCCAGCCGCTCGAGGCGGCTATATCCGGTTAAAAATGTCTCAGCCTCCAAAGGACATCCAAGGAGGCGCCACCCTCTTGATCAACCCAGGAGGACATAAGTCTGAGAAAGAAATCAACGCTTATAATACAAAAACAACGGACAAAGTCAGATACCTTCCGTCTCCCAGAGTTCACCAAGTGGAGCTCATCACCCAAGGGCAACCTGCGATATCTGACTATGTAACGTCCCTACAACCAAGGTGCAGACAAGACAGTACCAGTACGGTTAGTGCCGACACTGAATCTACCACCGAATAAACGATGACTCTAGTCCTGTGAAGAGAGCTTATATATTCCAGAAGTCGAGACTGTCTTGATATTGATCTAGCCAGTACGCTGAAATTGCCAGTTTCAGTCGACCCCCAGGGATGGTTATCCGAACATAACATAGTTAACCAAGGCGAACATGGTTACTAGTGGAGCCACAAGGAGACCTATGTCAGATTGGGATAGGAGAGACCTTGTGGTGCGGGTCACTGCCCCGTAGCTATACCCACTCTCAGAAGGTCTAGATCAAACCCAGCCTCTTCTCCCATAAAAATCCGATCCTTCTCAACCTCGAGGGAGCACAACTACTCCGTTCTGCGGAATAGGGTCATCAGTCCATAACGTTTCAAGGTAGGTAATGGACCATTGGCCTATCATAAAGCATCTGGAAAGGTCTGTCACCAGTCGTAGCATTAGGAATTTCTCAGAAGCCATTTCAGCCTGTATCAAAAGGAGTTGAGATACTTAAAATCCGATTCTTTTCCAAAACGCAATAAAATTAGTTCTCGACAACTTGGCTCCACAGGTCCGATGATATTCACATCAATTATCTGGAACGTTTCATAACAGGAACTTCATCAAAAGGATGCTTTTTAGCTTGAAGTTGACGAGTGTTGCAATATTCATTCACATCTTTCTTGATTCCGAGCAAATGGAAGTAATATGTCAATCATCCAGGAATCTTAGTTAGCAGGTGACCTTCCTATAAGATAGAATGAAGTCAAGTCCAAAATTTGTTTTCTTCTCTGCTTGCGAACAACTAACTGAAAACCTTATCCTAAAATATTATCTTTATGATACAAAAAAAAAAAAAAAAAAAAAATTCAGTAACAATGATATTATTACATCCGTTCTCAGCATTTCGCCAAAATGCTTGTAAGAATGGATCATTTGCTTGTTGAATCCGATATAGTTCTGAATCCAACACACAGCCATTTTGTCTCATACTATCTTCAGAATCATCCTTTCCTGTCTTTTCATGTAATAGTGTACAACATTTTATTGTTTTCTTAACAGTGTCCTTATATTTTTGATTAATAAGTTTTTTTCCTGTCATGGTCAAATATTTTGTAAAAATGTTCAGTTCCGTAAAAAAGGTATTTCAATCAAACTATCATTAATAATATTTATGTTTTTGCATTCAAAATTAAACTTTCGTTTATCAACTCGTTTTAACTCATTAAAAGCCCTTAACTATGAAAGTGAAGGCAGTCATTAGATAACCTATCAACCACTGCACATGTTACAAAAATAGGTGACTTAAATTAAGCACCTTTAGAATACTTCGGTAAAGGTAAGTTAATAAAAGAAGCCTCTATATTTTATCCGAGTACTGACGTGAGAATAACATTTTCATATGGTGAACGATATCTTTCTGGTACAATATAAGTCTTAACAACAGTTAATTTCGCTCCTATATCTCTTACTGCATTAATTATTATCATTACAAATAAGCGATTAATTAACAATCGTTAAGCGAATTCATCTTTAGTTCGTTGGTACATTAAATATTTAGAAGTATTTGCAGTTACGGCATTAGAATTATTCTTAATTTCTTCTTTATTAAACACTTTCTTACTTTCGTGCAACAATAGAATTACATTCGAACATTTTGATTGAGAAGCGCAATTATTTTCTGCATTTCCATTCAAAACAAATGAAGCACTGATTAGAATCTTTTAAACTCTTTTTTCTTTTTCTCTTGCGGTGAAATATAACACATTGTTCTGACACGCGATCTTCACTTTCCCAAAATAAACAAGCTATAGTCGAGTAGCTACAGTTTTGTTTACATTATTGAAATAACGGGCGCCGATTGTAGGGTTGTCGTCGAAAGAATTTACAAGCGTAGAAATAGTTTCGTTCGTTGAAATTGTTTCGTTTTCATTAGGAAAATAAAATTCGTTTCGGGCAGATTCGTATAATTCTTAGGGCGCAAGATAAATTTAATGAAAATCGATGCGACTTTTATTTCCAGTTTCAGAAATTTTATGAGGGAGTTGACTCTAAAATTTTCATTTGCTTTCTGACGAGCAAATGCATATTCCTAAGAATACATTTCATTAACAAAGGATAAGTTTCCATGTGATTTCAGTTTCGATTCCTAATAAATTTAGTAGCTTATATGCACGTAACGGGTATCATATAATTCTCTCAAAGCATGAATATCATTCGAACTTCGGGCAGGTCGAAAATTTTACAGTTTATGTATGTATAAACTTAAAAGGAGCTTTTTCTAGCCAAATTTTTCATTATGAGAGGAACCATTAGAAACTAGTGAATTGTTAACATTTTTTTTTTCTCTTAATAATTTCGCGCCTGAGAAATTCCATTTTCCAGTCTTTTCATCGTGCTCCAGGGCACTTACGATTTTAATGTCTAATTTTTCTTCTATATCTTTATACCGCAAGAAGAAACTAAAAATTCAATATAACCTTTTACTTTAGTATTATGGCTCAAAAAATAACTTTCCTTTCTTTCTTAAGTTTCGCAAGTTCTGCTTCAGCCACTTCGTTACGATTAAACTCTAATTTCCAACGAAATACATCAAACAAAACACTTCTTGCTTTATAAGGTATTTCTCTCACTTTCATAGCGTGCCTTCGTGGTGTAGTGGTTTGCACACTGGGCCGGTATTCTAAAGTTCCGCGGTTCAATTCCCGGCGAAGGCGTTGTTACTTTTTCATCTCTCCGGCTTTTCCAGTTAACATAATATCGCTACAGTGGCGCCCGAACTAAAAGGGTGTTGGATGATGGTTCTCCACACCCAGGATTTGACGATTTGGTCCTCTAAAAACCCCAGTCGCCCTTTAAAAGGGGGAGTATATAAGGTATTTCTCCCACCTTATTGGCAAGCCTTCGTGGTGTAGTGGTTTGCACACTGGGCCGGTATTCCAGAGGTCCGCTGTTCGATTCCCTGCAAAGGCGGTTGCTAATTTTTCATCTCTCTTGCTTCCAAAAAAGATCCTAATGTCTACAGCTTTTTCTTAAGAATCACTTACGCTTTACTAGACGTTCGCAATTCATTTGAAATATAATACGTAATAGCAAAGTGAGTTCTTGACATATTTAACATAGACGTCACGTGAGGTGGGCGTTTACCTAAAGCAAACTTAGGCCCTATAAGACAAATCCTTTATTGTAACACGAACAAAATAAACAGATATAATTTACATAAATTTAATAAAATATTTCTCCTGGTTTACAGGTAACGTATCCATGCCTTATTGTGACATTCTCTTCTAAATAATCTCCACTCCATACCACGTAGGAGAGTTACGAAAGCTTTCCGGGTTTGGCTAAAGTGCATATGCGTAGTATTCATGACAGTCGTTTCGGCGTTCGTGCTGCTTTTTGGAATATAAAGTTCCGCGAATTAACACTAAACTGCAGGAAAATTAGACACTTCCTCTCACATGTCAATCAGTATGATCGTACATCCTGTGATATGATTTCCAAATGTCACATGCTCCGTGGCATCATTTTCATCCGTGTTAATAACCCTCAAGCTTGTGAGAAGTGGTTAGAGAAAGTTTGATCCGCTAGTTGGACCTAAATAGCCTGATGAATTATTTTTAGGACCGCAGGAAGACCTGCAAGGTGTTTAGTCATAGGGCTTTATTTCGTCTAATGGCCAATATATGTTTAAAAACGAAATAATATTTTTTACGGAGAAAGGATTTCGTAAAATAACCTCAGCAAGTAACCCTATACAGCAGGTAAAAATTAATGCTGAATCTTCTAAAATTACTTGATTTTTATATATTTACTCTGTTTTCAGGATGAATTAAGCAAAAATCCAATGACAACACGTGAATCCACTGCAATGGAGTCGGGCAGAGTAAGTATGATTTTATCAGCAGGCCGTGGTTCAATCAACCAAATAAAGCGCAAAATTATATTTCTGTGTCGTATCCTATTCCATGTCTCTTAAAATTAATTTTATTCAGTATTACAAACATCTCTTTCATTTATTTATTTATCTTTTGTTTCATATTCTAATTGGTTAAGCGAAATAAAATGTGCATCTGTGATAAATTAAAAACTAATTTAGCAAGCATTTTTTCCTCATTATTACATACCACTACGGAATTACTGACTAATACGGAGAATGTTTCTTCCTCACTATAGTTTAAAAGAATATTTTTTAACAAATTACATAAGTATGCATATTATTTTCGTACACATGTTTAAGTAACATATATTGCAAGGGCGGCTCTCGCAGGTGAATGGAGGGGCTGTTATACAAATAAAATAGTGTATGAAATATGGTAAACTAAAGCTATTCAATGTCCAAAAGAAAATAGTTAAATTATTTAATTTTTTGAATTCTTATAAGTAAACTTACGCTAATCAATGTCCTAATATAAATATTTTATTTCATTTCTTGTTAGTTAAGAAACTCAATAATGATTTTCACAGACATGACAAAATAAAACATTGCATACATTCTATCAAACAATTTTGTCAAGAAAAGCTTTAAAAGTGAAATTTGCTTATGGATGCTTAAACAATGGATGGATGGATACTTGTATGTTTTACAGGAACAGTCTCCCGAATTTCTGAAAAATTACTAGCGTAGACTCTAAATTTAGGTGGTCTGAACTTGAAACTAAATATTGCATCAGAGATATTTAATATCATGTAGAGTTTGATTAAAGTTAAAAACAATTTAGCAGTTGATCCCACGTCCGAATTAACGAGAAATTTATAGCAATTGAAAGCTTTGAGAATTTCTAATAAATATGATGATAGTTATAGTTTAGAAGACGATGCTACCTCTAGAAAATTTTGAGAATATATAAAATTTGTGGACAACAGATATGCGGATATATATGCAGAATCTATATGTAATATTTTGGTAGTCGGGCATATAAGTGAAGCTTGGCAATCTGGTCACATCAGAATTCTGGACATTGTTGTGGCTGAGTGTAAGGCGGCATCCAATGACGATACAGAAGGATTTAAATTTATTGCTCCATATCTTTATTCAATTCAAAAGGCAGATCATTATTGTTTACTAAGATAAGATTAACTTTAAATTCAAGTCGTCATAGTATTCGAACAAAGGGAGGCAGATGTGAGCAGCAGCATAGGTCTTAACAGTAGTAGAGGCAGATGTGAGCAGCAGCATAGGTCTTAACAGTAGTAGAGGCAGAAAGCGGTTTCCCACGCTATAATGGTGGCGCGAGTTCTCTATTTATAGGAGCGGTTACGTAATAGGCTCGAATGTTCTCGAAAGTACTGCTCTAGGGGGAAGATCCTGAAATTGCGGAAAGTTAATTAGAGGTTGCTTGTTCGCATAGAGCAAAGCCATCCTATTTTTGATATTTTACATATATATATAGATATAAATAGATTTCTTGCCGTGTAACGAAAATGCAGGGGAATTGTTGGATAATTCTGAGTCATTGTGAGGATGATGTATTATCATGTCTTGAAGGATGTACTATCTGTCATTAAATGATTATTTAAACTCAAACTTTTGTTTTCATTTTGAAACCTGTTGCATTATTAAGCAGTTTTTGCATAAACTAGTTGTCGCTCTCGAACTTTCCTGAATTCCTACGTGCGGCTCTTGCTGATATGAAGTTTAATCTCCCTTATTATATTGCTTCCTTTAACTCTCTGAGCGCCATGACCGGTCATGAGATTTGTTTGCCACTTGGTATATATACTAACTTATAATTTATGGTATTTTGCTTTCCTACTTTCTATAATAACATTAATGTCATCTTAATAAATCTGTTTATCAAAATAGAGACTAAAGTAAGTAAACTTACAAATTTAGCTATTAAGGGCTCTTAATATACAGGTATTTGTGGCAGATCCCAAAACCCGAGCTAAAGAAGATGCTTAAAGGAATTTGTATGTTTACTTAACGGTAAGACTGAAAATTTTATGTAAATCTATTTATATTCCGGAAATAATTCAAATATTATTAATAATATAGAAAGCAACACTTATTTCGGCTCCTGATCTTTTTTTTCCTTTTAATACTTAGCTCTTAAATTCTTTATTTTTTTTTTAGATTAACTGGAATTCATCAGATTATTAGTAAATATTGCTTTTTAAGGAAACTGGATTTATACAACGCTTCAGTTCTACCTTCAGTTCTATATTGCACTTCAAAAAATGTACAATTTAATAAAGTGAAATACATATATGTAACAAACTTGAAACTTTTGAGAACATTTTTTATGGCCGCATATTTTTACATTCATCAGCATTAATTGGGTTGCATATTGATAATTAAAGTAAGAACTTTTCTCTTGTGCAACGATGTTCACAACAATGCTTCTTTTTTCTGAATTCTTAAAGAGCTCGACTTTTCTAAATTTCTGTTCGAAAATTTTCTTTTTCTAAAACATAAACTGCCAGAAAATGAACAATCAGCTATTTAATTCAAGTGGTTACTTCTTCGTCAGAATCTTTGTGTCACTAGTTTCTAGTTTTGTCATTTGACTGCAACAGTGAAGTGAATAGGAATAAGACTACGATACAAAATATCAACAAAAATGGAAGCTCTGTTGATAAAACCGCGAAAGCTCCACTCAGGTAAGACAAATACTCAAAGAAAAACAAAAGAATGATTGTCTACACATTCGAAAATTCCGAAAAGTCAGCTGAGAAAAAGCATTGAGCCTGAGAGCTCGGATGACGAGTTCTGATGGAGAGCGTTTGATCGCTTCAGCTGCAAAAGAATTATATACAGTATAACTATGATTAATAGACATTCTATTCTAGAAGACACGCTTATTAAAAATATTTCCTAGAACCCCGGGCCGTCGGAATAGGAGCGCAGTGCACTCCCATTTCGAAAACAGGTCTCTGACAATATAAATACTTTAATCGCATGGCTGCCACTATTGGGATTTCGAATCCTCTATGCTTGCCTTCTTTGAATAACTATTATTTGATGAGATTACATTATGATCATAAAAATAATTTTTGCGCATTCGAAAATTAGCAAAACTATATTGATTAATATGTTTTGAAAAAATAATGTATAATCACTGTAAAATTGCATACTGTTTCCTCTAAACGTGTTTTGTAGTGTAATGAATTCGTTCCTATTTTTTACTTCCAGACCTGCATTGTGCCTAATTTCTCCATGTGTATGGAAAACCCAGAGGATTGCTTTTAAAGTATGTTTAAGTCTGCATTTATTTATTTGGTATGCTTGTTTTTATAGTTACAAAAAGAAACATATGACACGATATATTTTTAATTATTTATCCAAAGCTAGACATTTGGTCACTAAGCCATTAGTCTTAATCTTGCTTCTCACTACTTAAGAACAAGACAATTAAAAGATAATAGTGCATAGCATTCATGAGAATGCTCCTTATCCATGGACTGTCCAGTGTTAAGTCGAATTTTAGAAAAAGATAGGCATTCAGACAATCGTATCCAGCCACGGCTATAGGACGAGGAAAATCTGGAATAACTGGCTTGAAGCTAGTGAGACATTCCTAGGCCTTTGCCTTTGCTTCATTTGATAGGTAGGAAGAAAACCTCCTCTTAAATTCTAATTTAATTAGAAATTTTGCAGAATTAAAAGTCGTATGGTAATTAGTGGCTTGTAAAATAGTCTTTCCTTTCTTTGCCTGGAAATCGGCTTTCATTTCCCTCGATGCCACAACGAGAAGGAATCCACTTCAAGAAAATTCGGCAGCAAGTGTTCAGAATCTTCCTACATTCGGTAAATTCTTTCATTATTGCAAAATTTATGGTTGAAGATAGCCTGCAAAGCGGCTTTGCTATTGGACAAAATAACAAAAGAAGAAATTACTCTTCCGAGCGCTTAATTGATTCAGAGCAATAAATATAGACTCAACTTCTCCATTAAAATTTAGAGAATCTCTCCCCACTGCCTTATAGAATGCAAAGTGGTTACAAAAGATTCCTGTACTAGCTCCAGTACCTCGGTCAATCATGGATCCATCGGTGTAAACATGGATTCAGAGGTTACTGGGATATATTCTTTCAATAATTTCATAAGCAATGGCTCTGATCTGGGCAGTGGGTATCTCGCTATCAACAGTTTTCTCGTCAAGTTCAAGATATATACAGAAGTCACCATATTCAAGAGAACAGAACGGTACAGTCATTACATTCAATCAAGGTCTAGATCTTCGCTAACTGATAACCAATTTGATTGAAATCCACTTGTTTCTTTAAATTTCTATCATTGTTAAAATTGTAATTCCTCCAACATTTATTATTTGGGAACCTTCAAAATTTTTGAAGCAAAAGTGCAGCATTGTTACGAATGTCATGCATGACAGGAGAAATTACTGGTTAAAGCTTCCATAGTCGCTATGGGAGTGAATTTAACTGCACCTGTTATTGGGCGAACAAATTGAATTTTTTAATCATGCCAAAACGTCGACTGTACTAATGGAAGCCCCAACTTCATTACAGTAATAAAATAATGGTATAATGTACATTTTGTATGTACTTATTAAGGTTTCTCTGTTTTATATCCCCATCGGCAGCTCGCCCGTCGTTTTAGAATTGGAAGATTCCGTTCACTTTTTTTTCCTTTGTACAAGAACTATGTTCATTCCAATTCAGATGTGAATCACTTTTGCATCACAAATAGGTAACTTGGCCCACTAGCGGCCGAGCAGTAAAAACCGCTGAATACTGGTAGTTCAGTCCGGGGTTCGAGTCCCAGCGAACGGGCTGGCTGCATGGGCGTTTTTGTGGTTTTTCCCATGTGTAACGTGGATTCCCTTAAAAAGACCTTCACGGGGCATCCTTCACTTTCTGTGTAGTGAGCAAGAGCGGAGCACATAATAAGCAAAAAAAAAAAAAAAAGGTAACTTCATTACTAACAGAGATTACTTCATCACAGTACAAAAGGTGGGGTAAAAAGTGCTCTCTATTCAAGGTATAAAACTGGCAGTTAGTTTTGTCTAGGTTTAAAATCGTGTTATCATTCCTTCACCAAAGATCCAATCTCCTCAAGGTATCATAGAGATTAACGTTCAGACTTTCCTGTCGATTCTTTGGAGTACAGCTCCAGTGGACTAGATCGTCAGCGAAGAGCGTAGTCTTAACTGCAGGGTCAGGTATCAGAATATCATACAAATCGTTTATATAAATACAATCATGTCCATAAATTAAGGATAATGCAAAATCAGGCAAAGGAAGAGTTAGAAGCAAAACAAATTTGACTTATTTGTAAAGCTTATTTATTAAACAAAAGGTGAAGAGCAAAAAAAAGATGCTATATGTTTGATATTATTAAAAAAATTAGCGATTTTTTCTCCCTGGAGCAAATTACAAAAAAAACCTATTTACAAAAAACTAATATTACGTGGTTAATATGATTGTTAATATATTGTATGTCTCCCAGACGATGCAATACAGTCCGTACAACGACTAGGCATGCTGAGTATCAAATTATCGATCTGATCTTGGGAGATATTACACCACTCAAAAAGCAATGCTCTCCGAAGTTCCGGTAGATATGTAGGAGGAGGTTGACAGGCAGCAACTCGTCGGCCAAGCATGTCCCACACGTGCTCTACTGGATTTAAGTCCGGTGAGAATGTTGGCCAGTCCATACGGGTGATATCCTCCGATTGAAGGCATTCGCTTACGATGTCTGCACGGTGAGGACGGGCGTTTTCATCCATAAACACAAATTGTGCGCCCATGGCGCCCCGAAACAAACGTACATATTGTTCCAGAATGACGTCCCGATAGATTTGGCTTGTCATGGTTCCAATTTGAACATGGAGGTCAGTTCTGGAACACAGAATAATTCCACCCCAAACGAGCACCACCGTAACGGTGTCGATTAATGATGTTTTCTTGGTGGTAACGGGTACCTGGAGCTCTCCATATGAAAGTCCGGCGAGAGTCAGACTGCAAGCTAAACCTGGACTCATCGGAAAACATCACACAAGCTCACTGTTGCGGTGTCCACAATGCATGCTCTCTACTCCAGGCTAACCGCAGGCGACAGTGAGTTGCAGTAAGTGGAACGCATCTGACAGGTCTACGAGCGTATAGACCAATCTGCCCTAAGCGTCTGTACACGATCTGCCTTGAAATTGTCGTACCAGTGGCTGAAGAGAGCTGACGAGACAGGTCTGAGGTTGTGCTCCGCCTGTTTCTTTTGGCAGTAACTGCCAAATCCCGGTCGTCATTCAGCGTTGTAACTCTGGGGCGACCTGTGCTGTAACGTCTACTCACATTACCATCATCTTGGAATTGTTGCCAAAGCCTGGAGATGACACTCTGGGCAATTCCAAGTTCGTCTGATACAGTTGGGTCCGCCCACATTCCAGACGGTTGATCATTCTACCACGTAAAAAATCATACAAATGCCTCCTTTGTGTCATAACTATTCGGTTATTGCACTGAAATGCTTATAAAGCGCCTGCGAACAATTTTATTTCTTTGCCTGTATTCCTTATGTATCACTCTCTTACACTCTCGTCATTGTGATGTACCATCGGTGTCATCTGGTTGCTTCCTGAAATTTGCATATGATTCTTGAAGATGTGTGTAGTGATTTTACAGGTGATATATTTATTTTAGAGTTCGATTTCCGCGTGACTCCGAATCATCCTTAATTTATGGACATGAGTGTATTAAATAAAAAGAGGTTCACTACAAAACTCGACCTGAGGGGACCAGTTTTTGTCTGTTAAAAAAGAAAATGTTCTGGCCATAGGAACCCTAATAAATCTTTGATTAAGAAAATTTTTATGTTTTTTATTTTATTTTTTATTAACTGCAGGGTCAGGCATCAAAATATCAGGCAAATCCTTTACATAAATGTTAAATAAAATGGGGCTCACTGCAGCGCCCTGAGCGGACCAATTTTTGTCTGTCGAAAAGGAAAATGCTCTGGTCGTAGTGAACCCTAATAAATCTTTGGTTGACAAAATTTTCATCCAGGCCAGCATTTTGCTTTCTACACGAAGGGAATGGCGATTTTCAATAAGCTTTAAGCGACTGGCGCTGTCATAAGCAGATTTAAAGTCCAGAAAACTTTCAATGTAAATTATGTCCAATGATGTAATTATGTCATCTTGCTTAAAAAAGTCTTGTTTTTACTCTTACGTATATCTTGTGCTTGAAGGTTGTTCATCTAAATCTTTGCTCTTTCATGAGCTTAATTATTTAAAACCTATTACTATTGACGGCGGACTTATTCCCCCCAAAATCATTAATAATTTCAGAAATTTTTAAGAAGAAATTTTACAAAATTTTCATCTTGCCGTCAAAGCAAATATTCTAGTGCTAGAAATAACCATGAAAACAATTCCTTTATTTCATCTCACCATTCTATCAGTTATAGAATTGTTTGCATTCTTCAGAAGTTCAAATTTTATGTCATTTAGTAGCACACATTAAAAAAAAGCTATTTTTTATTACGAAGGTATAAAAGTAGTTTAATATCTAACAGTAGAATCCGTTGTTCTAATCTTAAAGATCCCATCGCTGATTTGAAATTTTGGGGAATTTACAGCATAACTTGAGGGTGCGGTTTGTTATACATTGCCAAACTAAAGGAGTATTAAAATATCGCATCAAGGAGCACAAAGAATGGTTTCGGAAAGGAAAAATAAAACATATCTTCGATATTTAATCATAGTGTTTGGCACTTGGTCGAAATGTTTACTTTGGTTCTGCAATATCATCCATGAGACTTCTTCGTTTAGTTAATTCGATTTTCTTGAAGCATTTCAAATTCATAAAAAAGTAATTATGTTCTTTAGTTAAATGACTTTAATTCCAACTCAGCCCTTTTAACGCTTTCAGAATTCTAATATTTTAGTCTTACACAACTCATTACAATTTTCCATCATAGATGACGTTACATTTGTTCTGGCTTGACTCTGCTCATAGCTTTCGGTATAGAAAACCTCGTCGTTCCTCGCATTCTGAAAATCTTCTTTTTAGCTCAGAAGAGCTATTATTCTCGAAGTGGAGTTTTGCATCGGTTCACTATGAATGCGTCGTTTCCCCTTTCGTTCGAGTTTGTTGCCATTCGGCAAAATGTAACGTATTTATCTTTCATATTGAATCTGACGGTAATGGATTAGCAAACTAAGCTATTTGTTAGCTATAAATGTAGTACTTAAGTATGATCTTTTTTTTTTTGTTTGAACCAGATTGATTTAAATATTAAAAATTATTTTAATTCAT